GGGGGGGGGAGGGGAGGGGATGGACTGTGACCACGACTCCTGACTCAGGAGTGCAGGGGCCAGCTGCCTAGGCTGTGTCTGCATCATCCTCGTGAGTGGTCTCCAGTATGTCTGATTATCATCCTACTTTTGGGAGCCAGGATCTGCCTCTGCCCTCACCTCCCAACAAGCAGTGTTGTAGACTGGGCATTGGAGACCTGGCTTCAAATCTTGTGACTTTGCTTGAGTCAGCTCACCTCTCTAAATCTCATCTATAAAGGGGGGATAATGTTTAGACCCACTTCACAGGGGCTTGTGTGTGTGTGTGTGTGTGCGCGCGTGCGTTAAACAGTCCCCAGAGCTGGACACTGCATCAGTCCTTTATGGTTGATTTCTGTGTACTCAGCTTGTTTCTCTTCTGTGGACAGCTGGTTATGGCTCTGTTGTCCAGTGTCCAGGGTTCTTATAATGCCACTAATGTGACAGTGTGACCTGGAATGTGTGCCTTGTGGCTATCCATGACACTTAGACACACATGCATTTCCCAGGACTCAGTGCCCTGGGGCTGTCTGACATCTGGAGATCTCCTTGGAGTCAGGACTATTTCTGGCATAGGCCGAGGGTCACCTGTGTCTCCAGGCCTCTCCATGAATAAGACAAACCAAAGTAAGTGCCAATGGGAGAGTGGGAGAGGAGGAGGGTGGGTTCCCCTTAGATTCTGGGGCTGGGAGAGGACCCTGACCCCACACCTCTCAGTTCCCCCTGGGAGCACTGTCTGGGACCCCACCCATAATGCGGTTCCTTTTTCTGCAGCCACCATTGGGCCCTCAGACCTCATCACAGTATCAGCCACATCACTTGGACCCAGCACTGGTGGCCGGGCATGGCCTGTGCTGGTAGGGGTTGTGTTGGGGGCTGTGGTCCTCTCTCTCCTCATTGCACTTGCTGCCAAATGCCACCTGTGCCGCCAATACCATGCCAGTTACCAGCACCGACCACTGCCTAAGACAGGGAAGAGGAACTGCCCAGAAGTGGGTGAAGATGAAGATGATGATGGCTTCATCGAGGACAATTACATTCAGCCTGGGGGTGGTGGGCTGGGGCCAGGAGGCAGCAGAGATCACTTCTCTCTCTGAGGCCCCTTTCCCCAGGTCTGAGAGCTTAAGGATAGTGGGTACTTCATGGGAGTTGTGAGTCTCAGGGACAGCGGTGGCTAGGGTCTAAGGGTTGAACAGGGAAGGACACTGCCTATCCCTCACCCCTGTCCAATCCATCCTCCACACTGGCCACCAACGTGACAGAAACCCTCTCCTGCTCAGTGACCCTCAATAGCTCTCTGCTCTTCTCAGGATAAAGCCAACAAGGGCCTGGATATGAGGCCCAGGAGTAAGGCCTTTTGTGACCAGGCCTCTTGGTTTTCTTTCTTGCCTTTCCTTATTTTACTCTTGGCTTAACTAAATGTTTTCTACTCTTCCCCCCGACCAGGCTGCTTTCCCATGCACCTTTGTGCATGCTGTTCCCCTACCTAGACTTCCCTTCCCTTCTTCTCCTGACAGATCCTCTGACAGCAATGAAAAATCCCAGTCAGTTGATCCCATGTGGCCGGCCTTTCTGCCAGCATTTCAAATTATGCCCAGATGGTTACATTTTAGCAGTTAAAAACCCGTGCCAAGTTTCTTATTGAATTTACCACCCCCAATCCAATAAAGTAGGTAATCAAAATTGTTATATTACATTCTTTTTCATAAGGATTAATACATTTATTTTCATTTTGGAAAAAAACACCCAGAACGTCACTTGTATTTTCCCTGAAGTGACAGTTGTGCATATAAATGTTCTGCTGCACTCATAGTGGGAGACTGGACTCAGATCGTTCCATCTTCCAGGACACCTCTCTCTTAGGACATCTGGTGCATTTCTCAACTAGTGCCCTTGCCACGTTTTAGATGATTTTTTTCTTACAATTTGTACTTACCACTTTCTATGCCTGCCCCCATTGCTAGACTGTGAGCTCTCTGAGGCCAGGGACTGAGTCTTACTCTGTATCCTCAGATTCTCATACAAGGTGGATACTAAATAAATCCTTGTTTAATATGCTGAATTTCTGTGGGTTGAGAAGTGAATGAATGGAAGGTGAGCAAGTGGGGTTAAGTGTGGCAGACTTTATCAAGAATCTTTGACCGAACATAGGTTTGTATGGGCTACATGGGACAGAGGTTAATAGTGATGTATGCTCAACCTTGGAACAACAGGGCTATGTGATACAGGGATCAAGGCATAGTCTGAATGGATAAAAGAGGGGAAATAATGTTAAGATGCTTGACTATCTTATCAATATTGGTTTCCCTTGCCTACTATTGTAAAATAGATACTTGAGGGGGATAGAAAGGAGGAGTATTGGGAAACATAATTACAGAAAGCTTGTAAGCCCGTCTTCAGCCTATACCTGACTGGAATACCTAAAAGGAGTTCTAGAACTTGCCCATTGAAATAGGCTTCTTGCGGAGACTTTGTAGTATATAAGACCTTACGTGGAATTCTGAGCCCCATCCAGAACTTTCTGAGGTGGCACATTCCTACTTGAAAGGACAAGCAGACCAGCCTAGAACAGCTAGAGGAACAGAAAATACTTCTTAAAAGAAAAGACCAGCAGGGAAAAAAACAACAACAAAAATGCAGTCTGATTGGCTACTACAAGAACAAGCAAGTTCTTTGCTGGAGAACCATCAAGGCAAGCATTCAAGTCTCTTCAGGACAACCCTCCCAACCCCCACCCCGCTCCAAGTTCCCTGCAACTCAAAGGAAACACACAAGCATGCATTTAAGTTTGCTGGCGACCACATTGGTCTACTGGTGAGTGGAAGTGTGGGGGAAAAGCAGCAATGAAGAGAGCCTTCAGTCTCTCTGCACATCAGTCCTTATCTGTACATCAGCCAGAATGATCATATCACTCCACTGCTGCCAAAAAAGTGCACAGATGAGCCTCAACTGCCTCACGATGAAGTGTGAGCTCTGTGTCTTGGCATCCAAGTAGGGCTTCATCTCAGATTTGGGTGTTAGGTGGCAAGCCTGGCTGAGCAGGGCCCTGAAATCCTGAGACCCTTGGAGGCAGGGTCCTGGGAGGGAGCCTATTGCCACTGTGCCCAACATAACCAGTCACAGGCCCAAAGAAAGAGCATGATCTGGTCCTACAGTCTCAAAAGACCAGGGATGCTGTACTCAGCAGATCTCTGCTGTTCTGCCCTCTGACTCTAGGTCCTGGGTCCCAGCCAGCAACAGCCTGTCTGCATCCCTCCTCCTCTCCTCAGCAGCTGCCACCATTGACTCTGACCTTGGAGCTCTTCCCCAGACCTAACAGTGGAGGACAAGGTAGCTTCCTGAAGACAAGGAAGGCCACATCCCTTGTCCTTGTGTGAAGGCCAGATACAGGTCTTTACACAAACCATAGACATGAATTTTCTATAAACCACACGGCAGAGTAGTCAAGTGAGCTGAGAACACAGACTGGATTCAAATCCCAGCTCTGCCACTTACGAGCTTCATGATGTGAGGCAAGTTATTGATCAGCGAGCAAGTTATTTACCAGTGGCATCTTCCTCAGATGACTATTAACTCACTGATGTTAAGTTGATTCGGACTCAGAGCAACCCTGTAGGACACCATAGAACTGTTCCTTAAGGTTTCTAAGACCCTAAATCTTTATGGAAGTAGACAGTCTCCTCTTTCTCCCATGGAGGTTAGGAGCCCAATGCTTAACCTACTGCCTACCAGAGTGTCTCATACATTGTTGTTGTTGTTAAGTGTCATCAAGTCTAGGCCTCTGTGTTTTGTTTTCCCTAGTTTCTTAAAAGAGATATTGTGAAAGACTTCTATGTCAGTCAAAAGTAAAAGGGATTTCTCCCCATATTACAGGATAGAGAGGCATCTGTGATCCTCTAGAGGCCTAGGAGTTGGTGTTAATGATAGACCCCTCTTGAGAACCTAGGAAGAGTCGGGATTTCCAGAAGATGAGCATGGAACCTCAGGAGGGAAAGATCCTAGCTCAACAGTAGACAGTGGGTCAACTTCCTTACCCTTACCAATTATAGGTGGGCTTCTCCTTGTTCCTTGCGTGCACACTGCCATCCAACCAAGTCAGCATCCTTCATCTGTCCATCCACTCATTAGCTAATCCAACAAAACACTGTGTCAGGCCCATCTTGGGAACTAGAGATACACAGATGAGTAAGACCAAACCCTGCTGAGAACACTCATCACCTGGTTAAGGAGGTGGGCACATAGAGAAATCATTGCAGATTGATGTCCCCATTGAGGGTTCTATGGGTGTAGAGAAGGGGAAACTCACTAGTTTAGGGGAAGAGATAAGATTTGCCAGAGACTGTGGCTGCCCAGTGAATTGGGTCTTGAAAAGGAGGCCAAGAAAACAACAAAAGGCTAGGAGAAGCAATGGAAATTGGAGAGTTTACAGTGTGTTTAGCTCATGGTGCTTTGTGGAGCCAGAGAACAAATCATGTTAGAGAGTCTTGATTTTGTCCTGAAAGAGGTGGGAATCCTCAAAAGGATTTTAAGGTACATTAGCATTTTAGGATGATCACTCTGGCAGAAGTGTGTGTATGTGGTTGGGGGTTGGGGCTGTGTGTGTGTGTTTGTGTGAGAAAGTGTAGGGTGTGAAGCTGAAGTAGAGAAAATAGTAAGGAGATTGCTTTACAACCCAGGCAAATATACAGAAAGTCCTGTCTAGGTGGTGGTGGTGTTAAGTGCTGTTGAGTCTCTTCCGAAGAGCAGCTGGTGGGTTTGAACTGCCAAACTTGTGGTTCGCAGTCCAGTGCTGATCCTACAGCACCATTCCAGGCTGTGGAATGGATTCAACAAATATTTATGTGAGAACTCAGCAGGAGTTGGTAATTTGATTATTGGACACAGGGTGAAGAGGTAGGGTGCAGACCCAGATCACTCTGAGGTGTTTAGCCTAGGTGCTTGGGTGAATGGTGGCACCCCCAGATAAGACAAAGGAGCTGTTGGGAGATCCAGGGGAGAGGGATTTAATTTTGACTATGTGAAGTTTGAGGTGCCCATGAAATGCCCTGGGGAGAGGTTTATGTTGGACCAGATGTTCTTGAGCAGGCCCTATACTCTCTCATCAGTTCAGGAAGACCTTCAAGTCACTTTAACCCTCAGTTTGCAATTTCATTCCCCTCAACCACCAATTTGGCATTTTCTTCAGTTGACTTTCTTGATCTTGTCATCTGAAAGCAATTTTCTCTTGTCAGAGCCTCTGTAGTCCTATGTTTAATATTTTTTAGGAGCCATATCTCATTTCCCTGCCTCTCTTGGTATTCTTCATGGAGATTTGTCATCTATACCTTTCAGGACAGGAAGTGATGAAATGGTAGTCAGTACTCTTGAGTGCTGCTTCTAGTGGGACTTTACTACTACTCCCATATTATAGAAGGGGAGATCCCTTTCAGTGCCGACTCCAAGCAGGAAGTGACTCTTACAGCCCAAGGGGGTTTCAAACACCTCTCCCATGCCCAGGAGCCCAGAACTGTGTTAGCTGGTGCAGTGACCACATAAACCCATGACATTCTGGTTTCAAAGGTTGGGTAAGAAGTTGCAGGTTGCTATGAGTCGGAACCGACTTGATGGCACTTAACAACCAACACCTTAAGCGTCCCAAGCAGCCAAAGGGAACACAACTGAAGGGAGAGATAATTTTTAGATGCCAGCTGATAAAACCACAGTACTTAGTGGCTCCTCTTGGGCCAGTTCATGAACAAATGTGAAGGACTTGAGTCCCCCACCCTGAATGCTCTTTTCCCTGGGACCTGAAACCCACTGAGCATTCCGTCACCCCATCTTCCTCCCAGCTCCTTGTTACTCAAGAAGCGAAACCACAGACCTGATTGAGGAGAACTTCAAGGCACGCTTTATAAGCCCGAGCTAAGAGAACTTTGGAAGGGGTGTGAGGGAGGAAAGGGTCTCAGAGGTGAGGGTTGTGAAATAATGACAATAACAATATGAATAACAATAGCAGCTGCCATTTTTATTGAACATCTGCCATATGCCCACTTCTCCCAAATATGATCTCATTTAATGCTCACAAAAGATCACCATGACCATGACCCTTCAGGAACTGAGGCCCAGAGACGTTAAGTCACTTCCCACAGTCCTCCAACTGGTAAGTGATGGAGGGGAGTGCTTCTAATTCAGAGTCAATGTTCTTGACTTTGTTACATTCCAGAGTCAATGTTCTTGGTACTTTGCTATAACTACCTTCTTCAAAGAAGGGTCACTGGGGCAGTCTTTGTAGTAGGGCAGTAAGTCACTAGTGTGTTTGAGGGGTATTGAAAATAAGGGTCAAAAATCTTCATGAATCCCAGCTATTTCTCTGTGCAGAGACCCCAGGCACAGACAGGCAGACTTTGACAGTCAAACAGACACAAGAACCCCATTCCAAGGAGCCCCACTTTCAGATTCCCATAGTGTGGAGGTTACACACAGCTCTTTAGTCATGCACTCACACAAGTCCACAGGCCTGACAGTGCTAGGGACACAGAGACTTCCACATAAGCTCATGTTCTCTGTCATACTCACTCACACAATCATTCACACTCCAACTGTTGTGTGGCTGCTGAGGCAGGTCGCTGGGCAGGAGGACTCTGGCTTGTCTCTGTCAGATGAGGCTGGCGATGCTGGAGGTGGTCTCGTGACGCTGGCCAGTAGACAGTTGTCCTGAGATGCTGAAGACGCTGCTGCTGCCACCCTGACCACTGTGGGTGGAGGGAGCGGTCGCTGGGATGGAAGGGCAGTGTCCACTCACACCTACCTGATACAGCAGCAAGCCTAGCAGCAAGAGTGAGCCTGAGGCAGCCAGAGCAATGCCCACTGATAGCATGGTGGCTAATGGCTGGGTGGGGGTGGGAGCAGCAGCCAGCCCTGCTAACGTCAGCCCAGTGACCAGCAACACAAGGCCACTGAGCAGAACCACGAGGGCATCGGCACCTCCACCGCTGCGCAGCAGGGCCACGTGATGCAGCTGACGCACGCAGTTCATATCCTGCACAGCTGAGCTCATCAGTTGCTTCACCAGCACCAGCAGGGCCAGCAGACAAAGCACTGTCCCTGATGCTAGCCTCCACTCACCCGAGCGGCTGCTGGTAGAGGAGAACAGGGCCACACCACCGGCCCCACAGCCTGCCACCAGGACCACGGCCACAGCAAAGCAAAGAGCCGAGCGCCGTGGCTGCTGGGACCACCACAGCTCCACCTGCTCTGCCAGTACGTCCGAGGGCAGCCCCCGGCCTACTGGGGCTTGAGCCTCTCTTTCAGGCATGGCTAGGTCTGGCAGGGGTCAGGGCAGAGGGTCAGTCAGAGTCAGAGACTAGAGGCTGTGGCTCATGGCCTGGTGCCCCCACCACCTGCTTGGCAGCTAGAGGCCCAGAGTTCTGTTCTTCTCACAGTCCCAGAAATGGTCACCATTACCTGCAGGAGGGAATCACAGTTGTCACCATACCATCCCTCAGTCCCTCATGTTCATTCCTGGGAACCTTGAGAACCCACCCCTCTCCATCTCCCCCCAGTGTCTCCTACAATCCTCCCTGGGGAAGCTCTCATCCCAACACTGCTTCTTCAATGAACCCAGAAAACCTTCGTACCCAATGAGGCACCTCACTCTCCCACATCCCCCCAGGGAATCCCCCCTGCCCGGACCCTGACCTCTCTTACTCCAGTTCTCTCAGATGCCTGTCCCATCCCGGCTGGCCGAGGGAGCTGGTGCCACGGTAGACAGTGGACGATGGATGAAGAGTTAGAGATAAAGCCTCATTCAGGACTAGACTCACATGGCCTCAGCTGTCACCACTGGCTCCTGGGGGTGGGGTGGGGAAAGAAAGCAGTGGGGAGGGACAGGGGCTTATGACTTAACTCTTCTAGAGCCACAGTCTGTCCCTTGAGTCTTCTCTCTCCTCTTCTGTGGGTTACTTGTTACTCAAGTTACTGTGGGTTTGGATCTGGCCCCTACCCTTCCCCTAACATCCCATCTGCTCTCACAACCACACTACAGCAACAGAAGCAAACCAGATGGGCCTCAAATTACTTTAGAACCTGGCTCTTTCTCCTGAGCTCCAGACCCATAAGGTTGATCATCACCTTGATGTCCCATAGTCTAGTCACCTTCTGAAGCAACAGGTTCCCACCCAAGCTTGCCATCTACACCAAACCTGCTTCTCCTCTGTGGGTCACTTCAGTAGTAGCCTCCCCACCCTCTCATCTACCCAAGTCAGAAATCTGGGAGCAGATTACACAGGACACTTCCTTCACCCTCTGCTGTATCTACATAACCCAAGTCCTGAGGAGCTCACTTCTCAACACTTCTCCCTTCCTTCCCTGCTTTCATCTCTAATGTTCCTGCTTCCCCACCCCGCCCCCCTCCATTTTCTCACTGGTCTCCTCTTTTCCCACTCTTCCTTACCATCGTATCTTCTTCCACAATTTCTCCAAAGTAGTGCAAAGAACAGAGCAGGGCTCTGGATTTCAAGCGAAGTCCTTAGCATCAGTGGGAACTTGGGTGAGGGCTTAACAATGGTTATTCATTTAACAGGCCCCTGGAGACCATCTTCATGACTCACATCAAAAACAAAGCTGACAAGGTCCGGGCCCTCAAGGAGCCCCCTTTGAAAGCTGGAGACTGACAAAAGCGGCAGGTCAGGTTCCCTGTGGTTAGTGCTGGGGTGTGGGCTGGGAGTGAAGAGGAGGGGCTGGGGGAAGGGTCAGAGAAGCCTGATTAGTTTACTTCCTAAAGCCTCAGTCTCCTTATCTGAAAAACGAAGACAATAACATTTATCTTGAGGGGTAGGGCTGAGTCATTGGACATTTTCATTTCAGAATTCCCAAAGGGACCTAGAGCCGCACAGATGCTCAACACACACTCTCTTAAGAAATAGACGTCCCTCCCTCCAATTCAGACCAGGACTCCTGATTTATACACGGGACGCAGGCGCTAGATCATTCTAGGAACAGGACTGCTTGGCCGTAAACAGGCTACACCCCGGTTGACAACCGACCTCCAAAACTCCACCATAGGGGCTGTCTTACACAAGTTGGGCGGGGTCAAGTTCAGATGCCCCCGAGGGACGAGAGGGAGAGGCTGTGGGAGGGGCCCCGGAGACAGTCCCAGCATTCCCCTGGGCTGTGATTTCGCAGTCTGAAAGTGCTGGGGCAGCGAGACCAGTCTGGGGGAGGGGTAGAAGGACTAGTGGGGAAGGTAGGGGCGAAGGTGGTGGTGGTGGTGGTGGGGGGGGGTTATGGGGTACTCACGAGAAGCCCGGACGCGCAGGATCCGATCTGAGCAGGCAGAGCGGGTGGGGCGTTCCAGCTCCACGTCTTGGGAGACGTTCCACCTGCCTAACCTGCACGCAGGTGAGCCTAGGGGGAGGGGTACCAACAGGTGGTGTTTCCTGGACCGGGCCTGAGCCGATTGGCTTACGTGGCACTGCTCCTTCTGCTGGGTAGAGGCATTCCTGGTATGGGAGGGGCTTCTGTCACCTGTTGATGGGGCTCAGAACACAATTCCCAGATCTGGGCAGCTGGAGGAATGCCGTCTGCCTGCCTCAGAGCCAGGGCCCCAGCTCCAAGCCTAAGTTCTAACCTTACCTCCAACCCCCATACCCAACTGCCATTTCAAGCCCTAACTACAATTAGGGTTTCAATAGCTTCAATTCCAGCCCCTACCCCTCATCCCAACTCCAATCTTGAACCTTCAATTCCAATCCCATCCTCTATTGTTGTATAGTCAGTTCCAATTTATAGCCACCCTGTATAGGGTTTCTGAGGAGCAGCTGGTGGGTTTGAATTGCCGACCTTGTAGCTTGCAGTCCAGTGCTAATTCTACAGCGCCACACCAGGAATGTAGCCTCTATGCCTTTTCCAAATAAAATTCCAGCCTCAGCTCCAAATTCCAACCCTTAATCTGTCTTGAAACTTCAGCTCCAACTCCTTATGCCAACCCCACTTCCAAATTCCAGATTTAAGTCTTAAACTCCTCACCCTCACCCCCAACTTTGGCTTCCATTCCTGAATCCAGTCCTCCAAACCCAACTCAATCCCCAAATTTAGACTCAGCTCCAAATCCCAATATTAGTTCACACCCAAAACTAGCCCAGTAGTGCATCATTTGACCCTTTCCCCTAGGTAAAGCGTTCACACACCCTGGGTTCATTTTCTTTCAATCAAAGCCTCAAAAGCCTGGCTGGTAAGCCTGCCCCACTTGTCTGCATCCTGTTTGGCCATTGATGGGGAAGGGGGAAGTGGAAATTGAGAGAACTGGGAAATAGAGGCCTTTCATGGGGGAAAACTAGAGTTCCCTTGCTTAAAACACTTTCTGTTCTTTTCATATCAATGTGGCATGCCTTTACAAGGCTCAGACAATCCCCATGGGGCTGCCAAACACACCAGGTCAGTGATTTGCCACTGGCCCCTGTCTTCCAATCAGAAAGAATGTCATCTGCCTTACTCTTCTGAATTTTGAACTCAGAGTTCTCCTGCCAGGGATATTTACCATTTCTTCAACCCCAGTCTGACCAACTTGCATTTTTCAACTAAAATGTCACCTCTCCCAGGAAGCCCTTCCGGACTTCCAGGCTGACTTAAGTGTATCTATAGTGCACCATATAGTGTGTTTTTTACACAATTGTACTTTCTGCAATATGTGCAGTTACCCTTGCTTACTGATCTGCCACCCCCACTAGATGTGTGGTTCCCAACAGGTAGAGTGTGTTTTGTTAATCACTGTGACTTCAGTAGCCAGCACCTTGCTTGGTACAGGACAATCAATCAATAACCCTTTGTTGAATGACTGATTAAATAAACTGTGACAGGTGTGTCCGCAAGGCGCTTGTGAGCTGAACTTGAAAAGACAAGTTTAGCTCAGTTGTACAGGGCCTTGAATGCTATGATGAAGCATGTGGCCTGGAATAGGGACCCATAGAGGGTTTGGAAGTATAACAGGTCTGGGGACAGAGCCAGAGCTCTGCTTCAGGTAAACGAACCCTAGCACCATTTAATACTCTGGATTGGTTACGGGACTGGGTGGGTGGATGGGTGAATGGTAGCAGGCTGTTACCATCTCCCAAACTGGGTTCCTTTTAATACCTCTTACTTCTCTCCTTCAGTATGAATGAATTAGATGAGAAAAAGAAAACCAAAGTTATCTTACCAGCATCAGCTTGACCTTCCTGTGCTTCTCTTTGCTCTGTGGACATGTTAAGGGCTAGTCAGGACTCTACGTCAGAGCTGTCCACTAATGCGCTGGACTGCGAAGTTGGTTTGAACCACAAGATCGGCAGTTCAAGCTCACCAGCTGCTCCTCAGAAACCCTGTACTGGGTTGCTATGGGTTAGAACCGACTCGACGGCACAATTTAACAACAACAGCCAATTTAACAAAGTAAAAGACAGGTGAAATGAATATATTTATATTTTATTAAACTTTAAATATTTTCATTTAATACACAAATCAAGGAGACACAGTATTTTACAGCCTTTTATTTTTGTACAAGGTTTTGATAATTTACTGTGAGTTTTGTACTTCTAGCTAGTCTCAGTTCTGACTACCTACATTTCAAATGATCGATAGGACTGTGGTTCTCCCCTTTAAGAAAAAGCGAGATAGCCTGACCACTATGGGGCAAACCGGAATCTGGAGGACCGTGAGGTGAGGGTGCAGACACTCATCCTTCCACGCTGGCAAGACATTATAAAAGTGTCCCCTGTATTCAGTGGAGTGTGGCTGTGTCTTCTTTTCCCATTTGTCTGAGATTTATTTAATCTCCTGGAACTAAGGGAGAGTCCAGCCTCAGCCTGCCCTATGCCTTCCCTTGGCTCTTCCCTTACGGTTTGAAGAGAACTTTTTTTTGGTGAGGGGAGACAAAACTTACTCATGTTAAATATTGACTATGTGAGTCTTTGTTCTAGTTCTGAGTCTTATCAAATACTTTGGAGTTAAAGTGGAAAGGCTCCTCAGAACTCTTGGACTCTGTCCTCAAAGCAGGTCTGTTGGGTAGTTCAACTGGGTGGTAATGAAGGCCAGAAGGCATAACTCTGAGCTGCCTTCAGGTCCATTAGACAGTGATGTGTGTGTATGTGTGAGGAGGATGGTGGGAGTCATGAGGGGAGGACAGTGAGGCATAGGGCCCCCACAACCCCATCTCCTAAGAGCCAGAGTGATGCTGTTACAAGGTAGAGTAGACAATGCTACAGGTAAGGTCCCTTCAGTGGCCTGCTTCACTTAGAAACAGCCAAAGTCCTCCAATGAATGATCTTCAAGACCTTCTCTAAC